ATTGGACTTAATGTAATATAAGTATATTTTAATATTGATGAATCACTTCCGATATCTGAAATGAATTCTTAATTTATGTTTGTAAATAAATAAATATTAAATTAAATAAAAAATTTACCATCCGAAGTCATTCCCCAACCAGCCAAAAGTACTCTTTTACCAATTAAATTTTCTTTTGTTTCATTAAAACATGGTAAACGTATTGGTTGAATTGCTTCTAAAATTTTGATAGCATAATAAACTTTTAAGTATTTTGGTATTCATTTTATTAAATATACTAGTAAATTCAACTGGAACTGGTAGCATTATTAAAGCAATATCAATCCATAATTTGGGATAATTAGAATGAATGATAAAATTTGAATTAGTTACCTTTATTCGTTCTTGTGTTTCTTCATCTCGATTAAGAATTTCAATGGCACCGAGGATAACTTCAGCACTTTTTTCGCTTTTAAATCAAATAATATAAAATTACTTACATACATATATTATATAAATTATTTAAACCTTAAATTTTAATTATTAAATAAACTTACCCATATAAACAATGTGCTGCAGTTAAAACCCCTATAAAAATATTTAATTGAAATTTTAATGTCAATTTAAATATTAAAGGCTTCTATTAAAATTTACATGATTTAGAAATTAAAGCACCACCACAATAATTAATTTTGTAGTTGTCATCCGAATGAAAGAGTAATCCAACTTGATAAGGAAATTGATAAATTCTCGAATTAAAACCATTAATAATTTTTGAAAAAAATGGCATTAGACCAATATTTCTTCCAGTTTGAAAATTATAAAATGTTTGTTCAACAATATTATTTGAACAAATTGAAACAAATGATAAAATTAATATCAAAATTAACAAAAGAAACTTTTTTTCCATTATTTCGTTTTTAATTTTACAATTTTATAAAATATGAAAATGCAAATATTTGAAATATCAAACTAATTCTTCGAATTTCGTGTGCTTTCTCATGTACATGTATGTTTGAAAATTTTATCAATAAAAATTTATGAACTATTTGAATATGTCATAAAATAATTTTTATTACGCTTTTTAAAAAAAAACCATGAAATCGTGTTAAATATAAGTTTCGATTTTGTAGTTACTGCATAGTAATTTTTAAAATATGTTCCGTTTTGATACAAAAATCTATATTAAGGCAACTAAAATTCAAAATAGGGTTGGATCTAATCGTGTTTCTGCCAGTTTTGTATTTCAATTCTATAAAACAAGACTTTCTCAAGAAATGCAATATTTTTATTCAACATTTTTTTTTTATATTTTTTTAAATACTGCCTTCATTTATTGCACCACATTTAAATATCGCAAATTCCTAAACTATCGCAAATTCCTTACGAGACAAAAACTTCTTTCTGGGATTTTTAATGCGTTAATAAATTCTTCATATCTAGTACATTCCCTATTATTTTAGAAATAGCAAATCTTAATAGACTAGTAGTACTATTTGATTCTAAAACGAAATATAATATATATTAAAATTTTATTAATAATTTACGAAAAAAAAATAAACAAAAATAATGAACCATCTTTTGTTTGTCCCCAATCAGTTAATCTTGTTTTTATTATTATAAAAGTAACAAAAATTGAAACAATAATAATTAGAGAAATTTAAAGTAGTATCATACGAATTGATTAGTACTACATTACCATTTTTTTCGAATACGAAAATCGTTTCATATAAATCGAATTACATCGTAAGGCCCCTGGGGTATTTCTTCAATATCCAACATTTATACCATTTATTTTATACTATAAAATATAAAATACATATTATATAATATTATACTATTTTTACAATATTTCTAATTTATAATATTTTTGCAGTAGTTACAAAAAAACTTGAAAATTCTTTTGTTAGTTAAAGTTTTTGAATATGCTATTTTTGCAGATTTTACAGTGTAGATTTAGAGATTGTATTTTATATTAAGACACAAGATAGAACTGAATTATCGAAAATTCTCATAATACTATAATTAATTTCAGATTTTACAATATCGAATACTTATATTGGTTTATATTCAATTTAAATGCAAATGGTGTCTTGAAACCACCGAGAAAGATTAAAATATTTAGGTTCAGAATTTTGAAGTTGGAAACTATAATATTAATTTTTAATTTTAAGTCCGCTTAAAAATGAAGTACTTCCTCTACTACTAAAAAAGAATTTTAATGTCATGTGATTTCTTTAAAGGAAAATTAATTAAAATATAGATAAAACTCAAAACAATTTTTTATACCTTTTTATATATTTTTGTATATATAAATTTTTTTTTTTGCTATATTTTATTGTCAAATATTTATAAGATATAATATATAAATAATAATTTTTTTTTTCATTTATTTCAATTCGAACTAAAACTCATACAATAGTTATAATAATTCACATTTCAAATACAATTAACAATTCAAATTAAATTACTTATCATATGGTATAGTAGAGTAAATAAGAGATTTTTTTTTTATTTAATTTGAAATAGTGAAAAATAGCATTTTCATTTTTATCCTACGAATAGTCAGAAAACTACTTTTTACAAATTTTACTATTTATTTTATTAACATACAACTTTTTATTTTTTTTTTTATCAAATATAAAGAAACAATTAGATTGATTAGAAGAATTAGTAATAATTCTTGTAAATAATAAATTTTCTTAAATTTACGCGATTGTTTTCAATTCATTTTTAAACAAAAATAAAATACAGAATCATATCAAAATTTGTGCACATTTAAATTTTAAAAATATTTCGGAAGATATATGTACATGCATACATTTGATTTATTTATTATTTCTGTTCCAATAATTATCATATTATATTATGTACATTAGATAATATCGTTCAAAAATTCCGTGTCTTATACAAAAATAAATTGACTTAATTTAATAAATTAAATCGTACATACAACTTATGTACATACATATGTATGTATATTCAAAATTTTTATTTTTCCCGTCAATAGTTCAAATTTGAAACAAAAATTAAATTTTTTGAATTTAATTTAAATCAATATAACATATGCATACAAATTTTATATATTTAATGAGAGTATTTTTAAACATTTTTTTATTTAACATGCATAAAGATAAATTACGGGGGAATAATCGTAAACAATTATTAATTTATTTTTTCAAATTCACGTCAATTATTGATTTGTGGAATCTTATTGAATGCTTATATTAATATTTTAATAATAATTCAATTGGATTTTGTAAAGTAATTAATATCTTATGGAATACAAAATACTTCAAGTAATCCTATATTAAATTAAATTTACAACATTTTTCATTCGTTAATAAATAAATTTAAAGAGTAAAGCAAATTCAACATTATATTTTCATAATTAAAAAATTTTAAGTATTTTAAATCAAAAAAGGTACATAAAATTATTATCAATTATTTCAAAAAATTTTTATCTTCCGGAACTCCTGATTTTTATAGAATATAAAATTCAAATTTTTTTAACCAAGAAAATTTCCGCACTTCATTACTAGAAATATATTAAATAATTGTTTTATTAATGTGATTTTATCTAAAGCCATGCCATTATATAAGTTTCTTTATTTAGCGACATTAAAACCTTGCCAATAAAATGTTTTAATTATATAATTAGGTAGACAAATAATATCAAATTTTACATAAATTATTCTTTTAAAAGACAGTTTCACTGATATAAAAGAAAAAGAAAACATTTCAATACGTTTCAACTTTTATACAGTCCAATGGTAGCACAAAAATTTACAGGTAGCAGCTACATACATACATAGATCAAAATAATTTTATATTAAGCTCAATTGAAAAAAAAAATAAAATATTCGAAATACAATATACATACGAAACAAACTTATCCGATATTAAAAATATTAACATACATATACAAATATTGTATAAATGTATAAATATAATCGATCAAATTGAAAAAATGTTATACATTCTAGTTAATCAATTCTTTTTTAGGAAAAAGACAAAAAATATATAAATATATATATATATATTATATAAATATATATATATATATATATATATTATATAAATATATATATATATATATATATATACATATATGAGTATATATATACATACTATTATTAAATATCCAAAAAAAATTATGTATCTATCAAAAACTACATCAATTTTCATTTTCCAAGAGTTGGAAAGAATTTTACCCCGATGACACAGTAGTTTGTCAATTAAAGTTTGATTTCTGCGTTTTAGTAACTGCAAATATACGCTAAAATGATAATGTGTATGAAGCAAACGTTATCATTAAAATAAAATTTTTCCATAGTTCCAGTACGGAACTTAAAAAATTCTTATTTAGTACTTATTCATTAACACTTAAAATATTAAGATAAAAGCAATTTTAGAAATATTTTTTAAAGATATCATATAAATTCTATAACAATATTAGGCAAGAATAAATTTTTAATAATGTACTTTTACAATTTTAATGTATTTTCAAAGACAAGTATAAACGTGGTTCTTAGTATTATCAATTTTTATAACATACTTTGTTTTTTTCGCTCGAAAACCAAAAAAAAAAAAATTTAAGCAGCCACATTTATTTCAAAACTTTTTTAAAGTCGCACAGATTTAATATAATTATATAAATATTTCATTTTTTACAAATTGTTAATAAATAGCAAATATAAAAAATAATAATATACAAAAAAAACGAAATGAATAAGTTTCGAAGCCTTCACAAAACATGGACAAAAATTGAAGCCTGAAAAATGCAAATCGCATAATTTAAAATGGCTATGGCTTTGCCAAATTAAAAAAAAAAAGGTATTTGTACAGAATATTTACAATGGTATGATATGATTTTTTTTTATTTTAACATTTATAAAGTTGAATGAAAATTATAATATTTTTAAATGAAAAAGTATAAAAAAAATATTTTCTAAATTCATTCTAATTTCATTTGAACTTTCAAGTACATTTTGAACATTTATTGTTTTGCTTAGGTTTTCTTCAAAAAATCAAATTTATATTTATTTCTTTAATTCCATATTCAAATGTAATTATTAAAATTATTTAAGTCATTAATTGCACAAAAATTATTTCTAATCTATTTTGTCAACATTTTCTTTTTTTGTTAAATTTTTTCCTTTTTTTTATATAAAATCACAGATTTTTTACTGGTCATTAAATTAAAATTAAAAATTAAATCTACAATTAACTCTAACACTCTTTTTTGTTTTGATTTTTTAACGACAAAAATACAAACTTAAATAGTCGTATTCAGATTTTTTAACTTTTAATGTAAATTTGATACTGGTAATTTTATTAAGAAACAATATGTTTTTTTATTATTACATATATTACACAACTTTTTCTATCTTGCAAACCATAAAAATTTTAAAGTACTTAAAAGGTTCTTTAAAAAGTGAATATAGTTTAATAAGTTCAATAAAAAAATATAGTTATTAGATAATATATAATTAAAAAAATAAAAAAATTCTTCTCATAATTTTGTCAGATCTGTAAAAATATATATAAAAGCTAATAAATTTATTAACAACATACAAAACAAATAGGCAAGAATGCAAGATAATATAACTATTAACTATTATCCAGTACCATGTTTACCATTTTCAAATAAGCCCTTTTTGAAAAAAGGTGAAAACAGTGCAAGACTTGCTTTTGTAACACCATGTCCACCTTCGCCTTCATATATTGGAGATTGTGGTATTTTTGAGCAAACAGTTATTAAACGACGTAAATATAGTTCTAAATGACGACGACGTTGTTTTGCTACTGACTCACTATTTGAGGAAAAAAGTTCCCGACGTGGAAATGTTAACATACTAACCTATAAAAATATGAAATGTATTAGTGCCGCATACATTTTTGAAAATATAAAATTTATTACCTTTGCCCCGTATGTATTTTTCATCGCCAAATGCAATTCTCTAAATCGACTAAAACGTCGTAATATATTTAACTTTCCGTCAGGTAAAATAATTCGAACTTCATATTCATAGTGCGTTTGTTTTCCTGCACCTCTTATCACAAAACTGGGTATACTAATAAAATGATCTGGATCACCTATAAAAGGATAAAAAAATTAATTGTCCGTATTCTAAAGGAAAAATTAATTTCATCATTACCTCCATCTATAGATGGGCAAGATCTTGTTGTTGACGTTGTTAAAAATGTATTTTGACCATATGGTGTTAATACATTTGACGACATCATTATAGATGAACTACATTCGGTGTTGTCTGCATTGAATTCCGATTCGCTATCTGGAGAACAACATTCTGAGTGTTCACCACTCAACTGCAGTTCTTTCTCCATCGTAAAATAACGTCTTTGTAGTTCCTGTAATTGAGCAATTTGGTCATCCAATTCACATTTATTAACTTCCATTTCTAAATTTTTCATTATTAACGCTTTTTGCATAGCAATTTTTCGTCTTAAGCGATGCATTATGCAATATGGTCTTGACATATCATTTTGTCGAGCATGTTCGCATGATGAGCATGATGTCGTGTCTTCATCACTATTTCTTACAATAACATTATTACAGCTACCATTTGGTGTTGAAGTTTTAATGTTGACTCCACTACTATCAAGAGTTAACCCGTTACTGCAGCCACTTGGACCTCCCCCATTTGACATGTTCAACATGTTAGGTCCGTTAGGTCTTAAAGATTCTAAACATACTCCACTATCACTCATTAATGGATTTGTTATCATAGGCGGGGATCCGTTTGTACTTATTGTGGTTGTTGTATGTATTGCATTAGTATCGTTGCTAAAAGTATTATCAGTGCTAGGTGAACAGGTAGCTGTTGTTGTTGGTGGTTCAGATGATATTTGCGAACAATTTGATGTTGCTGTATGATATGTTTCGGAGGTATCTAAAGTTTGTGTAATAGTTCCAGGTTCACCTGCACAACCTTGTAGCGTTGGACTGTCTAAACTTGATTGTAAATTTAACTTCATACTACAAAATACATTCAAAAATGTTAATTTTTGCATCATGCCAAACAAATAAAAATTTCTTAACTTACGATTGCTTTTTCAATTTAACATGGTCGACATTATTCTTTTCAGGAACATTTTCTTTTAACTCACGTAATTGTTCTTCCAATTTCAAAATATCTTCGTCAAGTTTAGCAATTCTTTCTGTACTAACGTTTAAAATTTGCTCCTTTTCTTTTATCTGCTCATCTAATTTTTTTATTTCTTCATTCTAGAAACAATGGAAATATTTATCATTATAATTTTTCTAAATATTATATGACATAAACCACTTACATTCCTCTTGATAGTGTCTCTAATAAATTGCGCAGCTGACGGATATAATGATTCCGAAGCTTGGGTTAAAAGATCGTCAGAAAGTGGTGTGTTATCAGTTATTTTTATACCAATCTTTAAATAGTAATTATTAATAAATGTTAAAAAAGGAATGAAATTTTTTATATTAAAAATAATAAATTCTTTCAATAAATTGCGAACTACTTGAACCTACATGTAATTGAATACTATTGTGAGAAAATTAAGAAGTGAATAAAATTATAAAATTAAATTAAAATAAAAATTAAAAATGGTTTTCTAACCTCATCCAATTTTCCACAATCTTGCAATTCTTGTAATTCTTTAGCTACATACTCAGAGAAATCACGTTTCTTTGAGTCGAGCTGAGTTTGCAATGCTGAAATTTGTCTACATACAATATCAATCTAAATACAAAAAAAAAAGTAATAGCAGAAATAAAATTTAAAAACAATAACATAATACAATAAAACAAAATATAATGAAAAAATTAATTTTTGGGAATATTTTCATGCAAGCTGTTACAGCTTTTATGGTACCAAATATCGTTATACAAACTAAATGAAAATATATATTAGCTTACGAAACTGAAATTTCTTATTAAAAATCTTTAAAATATTTCTTACACCTTCACAAATAAAATTTTTTTTTTATTGTTAATTACAAAATTATATACAAATATGTATGTTCCTGTTACGCTTAACGGGCATCCTACTATAAAATTTTCCCGACGATCTGGAAGAAAACGCATTGAAGCAAAAAAATGCAAATAAAAAGTAAACACATACCTAAATAAAAAATATAATTTAATAATTTAAAAGAACTTGTTAAGAAAAGGAAGATCATCGGAAAGGAATTTGAAAATTATTCTTAAATAAATTGAAGTGTACTATCAATTTTTTAAATTAAAAGGAGTGACTATATTGAAATTATTTACAGCATTTACAATCTAAACTTATGCTATTGAAACACGCAAAATATTTTTTAAAAATTATAGTAAATAAGAATAAAATTAATGCAATTTCAGTTTCGTTCATACATATAAGCCCACTAGATAATGTTAGAGAGATTAGCAGTAAAAATTAATTTGAATTTTGATTATTTTACATCACATGTCATACTTGTGTTTTTTCATTATTTTTCTCCCATAAAAGCATATCTTTGCGCGCCAATAGTTCTTGTTCATGACAATTATAAATTTTCATGATATCGTTTTCTTCTTTTTTCAAACGATCCAATTCATTTGTCAATTTCCTTACTTTAGATTTGTATTGTTCATGCATTTGCACACGTTCCTAAAAATTTAAAAAAAATATTGAATTCACTTAATTAAAAATTTTTACTCGCAATAAAATAATTTTTAAAAAATAAATTTTACTCGTTTTGTTTAAAAAATTACTTACAATGTTTAATTGTTTTAAAGCATTTTCAATAGTCTCTAAAATTTTCCTATTTTCATCTTGCAATTCAGGGTCGTCATGGGAAGTCAATGGTGACGGATAGTATTGCTTATCTCTTTTGAAAGGCGATGTTGTACTTCCACTGAGTAATAGATCATCTTCACCATAAACACTGTTTGATAATAAATTTTCACGTGATGCAGTGATTAATGAAAGACGTGATATTTCCATTTGAGATCGATTTAAGTCTTTTCGTAATTTTGCCGCCTCAGCAGGATTATTAAAACGAAATATATTTGTTCTGCCTAATAATATAATATCACCTTGGCTTATAGATGTTGGCTCATCAATAATGTTTGCATTAAGCCAACATTGGGCCAGTGGACGGGGATTAAGTATTGCCTGACCTTCTTTTAACACAATACTACAATGTTGAGGTCTAATATCAATACCAGTTAAACAAATATCTTGTGGTTCTTCAGACTCTTCTGTTCCAATTAAAGTCTCTCCTTCCTAAAATATTTTTTAATTTTTTTAAGTTTTTTTTTCATCAAATCAAATATAAAAATCACCTTCAAACTATATAACGTTACACCAGTTGTCATATCATTATGTATTCCGATTAAATGCGGCATCTCAGAGTCTAATATAACTCCAACACCAGCTTTTCTAAGTCCTAAAGATTTCTGTTCCTGCAAAATTAATTGTGCTTCTTTCCATTTTTCAGTCCATTCTTCTGTTAAAACTTTTTCTTGAGCTTCTTTCTTCAGTAAATCTTCAAGCATCTTAGAACCAGGCTCTTTGGATAGCTAAAAAAATGTGTATTTTTTATTATTTTGTGACATTATCCTTACGTACAGCTGACAAATGTTAGACATTTTAAATATTAACTTAAATATTAACAAAAATTTAGAAATTTTTATTTTATATTTACCATTCCATTTGATAATATTAATTTCAATTTATTTATTTCTTCGCGTAATTCACGAATTAATTTGACGTTAGCATCTTCATTAATTGTTGGTTTATTAATTATATTTTTAGCTCTATTAGCATATCTTAAGGTACTTAAAGTTTCACTATAATTACAATCAGCAGGAGAAATAGCTGCTATCATTATGGTTTTACTGTTGCCACCTAAACTATCTTTGAGTAACCAAGTTAATACAGAATCTCTATAGGGTATGTACAAAACTCGTTTATTTTGTTCTGCACGATTTGTCTGCTCAGCTAAAGCTGATATAACACTACCTAAGGTTACTAAAGATTTATTAATGTGAGCGCCTTCTTTTAAACGTTGTCCAGTTGCACCAGTTGCATTTGCACGTTCACTAAAAATTACATATGGAAGATTAAGGCAAACTAATATTATATGAAAAAATATTTTGAATTCAATTTAATATATGTTAAATTTTTCTATTACTAAAAAGTTTGATAAAAAGATTCAAAGTTAAAAATTAAAAAAAAATAAAACAATACCTGCCAGCTAAATCAACTAAATGTATTTTTGAAACGGTTTCACTAGGCATGTCATTCATAAAAACTGCTTGAACAAATGTAATAGTAAATATTGCATGACTACGACTACTTGTATCATTCATATTTGTGCTGGCTGTCGTTCTTTGATAATTTCCACGTGTTAAACAACCCTAAAAAAACAAAGAGAGAATTTTGTTGTAAATTAAAACGTAAATTATCTCCATTTAATAACTTAAGCTTACTTGTATTTCTTCAAAATCAGATACAATATGTTGTGATAAATTTTCGACATAGGGGCCTAGATCACGATGTTCTCGAACACGTAAACCGTGTCCAGTAGTGGCTGGTCCCAAAAGATCCTTAACACGTTCATTATATATTTCTAAATAGCTTGCATGCGTTTTGTAACCAGTACCAGATTCTTGACCAATTCGCATTCTTGCAAATAATTCTTGACATATACGTGGTATAAGGCCAGGATTATTTTCGGTGCCCATCATAGTGAATGTTTTACCACTTCCTGTTTGTCCATAAGCAAAAACACAAGCGTTATAACCTTAAAAATATTCAAAAAAAAAATATGTAATTTAAAAAAAATTCGATTAGAAATAAATTTTTAACAAAAAGTGAAACCATAAAAAAATTATTTTTTTAAAGAATTCTATAATGTAGTACAATTTTATCAAATGCTTCGAAAACCTTTTTGTTGATTAATTTTTGTGTTCCAAAACATAGGCAACCTGACTTAATTACATTTTTTTCTACAAACACATGCACATAATTTTAACCCTCTTATAATTTATTTTTTCAATTCTTCACAATTTTATTCTGAAGACCTAATAACTTCATAGTGCACATGAACAAAATATTTAATACAAATTCCATTCGAACCAGGTAATTGCTTTCATATATGTAATAAGTGTGTGTTCAAATAAATCATTTTCCGCCGAAGAGAAATTTGAAAAAATAAGAACAATAACCTTTTATTCTAAAAGCACAATTAAAGTGGAGGAATTCAAAAAGAAGGTTAATCTTTTGTATACGTTTATGATTTAAATAAAATTATTGACACAAAATCCTAAAAAATACAAAAAGCAAGTCAAGCACATGTTTTTTTGTCTTTTTAATTTAAAGCTTACATATTTATGGTTTTTAAGGTAACAATAAGATACTAAATATACAATCGGCTTGTATACATTTTTACGAAATATATTAAGCACAAAAATTCATCAATCAACAGGTAAGTATCTCAGCCAATTCATACTACTAATTGATAAAAGTAAAAAATAAAAGCAGAAAGTGAAGTGTCTCTCACATAGTCCGAACTTTAATAAATTATTGAGTGTTGTTAAATTTATTTCACAAATTCAATACATATATAAGTACATAATTGATCTATAATGCATATACGTAAGTATATGTATATGAAAATGAAGAAACAAAATAACTTAATTACCGGAACCTGTACTAAATGATTACAACTAATAATAGGGTATTAAGTAGTAGGTGTAAAAGAATTTTTATTAAAAAAATACTTTTATTAGATATTTTGCGTAAAATTTTAAAATTGTAATACAAACTGACAAAAAATATTTCAAAATTTACAATTGGACTCGCTTACAAAAAGATTTATTGCACATATTACATAATTTTAAACAAATTTAATTTCACATACTAAATTCAACTCTATAGATACTACATATTCTGGCAAATGCAATAATAATGAATTATATTATTCCATATAGCGTAAATAAATATATAAATTAATGTAATACATATAAGACTGCGTGCAATGCTTAATATGAAAGTAAAATTGTAAAATTTATGCCGGCAACATAAAATTGTAATAATGTACAATAATATGAGTAATACACAAAAGTACATAATGTACAAGAAAATAAAAAATAAGTGAAATATCGTATTTAAATTAATCTTTACTGCAAGTAAAAATGCTTAATAACAAGATATATGAAATATTTTCTATAGGATACAATGCAATATTATAAAAGCTCTTATAGTAATAGAAGTAAATTTTGAGTATTTGAAAATTAATATTACATATTTCTACATACATATACGTATGCAATATTTTATAAAGAAGAAACTTTAAAACTCTGAAGAGTTACAGAATATTTGAACAAGTTATTTTAGATTTTATTTAATTTTGTGTACTTTTCATATTGGTTAAATAAAAATGACTGGTCCGTTTATTTGGAAAATTGTCTAAGCTATTTCACATTTAAATTGCGATATTGCACGAACTTTCTTGAAGAGGTTTTTAAAATTTATAACTTTTGAACATCTATTTAAATTAATTTGTTAGATTTTAAATTAAAAGACAACACTACAGTTTACGAGAAACTATCAACACTCTATACAATCTTTTATCAGTTTATATTATAATTTTAACTGATTTTTGCTGATTTACTTTAGACTTGCTGATTTTTTATTTATTCTTCAATTAAAATTCAGTTAAGGTCATTACTCTCAAACATTCAGAACGGCTTGTATTAGTTTACAATAAAACTGGACAGCTAGAAAGCTCTTCTACATTATAGAATAGTGCAATTAACGGAAGCTCCTATTGCTTTTGATTCTTTAATTCATTTACCTAAATCTATGTACATTTGAAATCAATTTCTTATATAACAAGGAAATAATCTCATTAAATTTACCTTATTAAATTATCAAACTAAAATGTCAATATATTTTTGTATTGCAGATCTTGAAAATTATTTACTTATTATATTTTGAAATATTTTACAATTTTCCACCATACTATAAAAATATTAGCTGCAAATTAATATTCTTGTTGTCACTTCTCTCTTTCCAGATTTCCTTTTGTTTTTAGATATGCAATCTACTTTCTTAGTGTAGAGGGAAAAGTTCGCCTTAAATTGTATAATTTTTCCAAATATTGTGTACCTTTTCTTACTAATAGATATACACAATTAAGTACTATGTATACATATACCATGTAGGGCTAAAGAAAAAAAATGTTCTTCCACATTTTTCGAATAAAAATAAAAAAGCAAAGTATATACTGTCAGTTGTTTCAAGAATATTTTTTCATTCCAATATTTCAAAATTTTTTCCAAAATTGTTCTAGTCAGGAAATGAAATCAAAGGGAAAATAAAAATTTATAGTACATACATACATACATAGACACAAAAAAATTTTATACAAAAATTGAAGAAAATTAAGATTTTCACTTTAAATTAAATGAAACTCAAATTCACCTTTTTTTTAAAGGTGAATTTGAAAATATTATTGAAAATATTCTTTTCTATTTATTTTTCTGGTAGGTATAATTTTCCCATAAAATTTTTCCAAACTTAAAAGAAGCAATTACAAAATTTCATAGGCATTTATGTAACAATCTATATATATATATATATGTATATACATATATGTACATGGATATTTACAAAAGCCTATAAGTAAATACATCCATACATATGTATCTATGTACATACCCATATGTATTGATAATATTCAAAATGTAGTTAATAACATGAGAAAAAGTAAGTCAAGAAAAGCGGAAAATAAAACCAGACTAAAATTAAATAAAATAAGAAAACAAGACAAAATAAAAATACTTAACCTATCTGGACAGTGAATGCCCTATTTATATTTTTCTAATTTAATATAAAAGGGCAAAAAGAGATTTTTTGTCGGTCACACTAAGTGGTTTGATTCGTTAAACATGAAAAAATAAAAAAAAAAAACAAAGATTACAAAAAACCACAAAACTACAAACATAATTTCTGTAACGGAAATTTAACCATTTTACAAAATTGTTCTATTTATACATTTTCATTCAGGAAAACAACATGGGAGAGAAAAACTTGGAAAATTAAAAGCATTAAAAAGAAAACGATCACAGAAAAGTCAAATAGCATGACATATTTGTGTAACATTAAAGTGCCTAAGGAAATTATATTTTTTTTTTAATTGTAGTACATACATAAACTTAAGTAAGTAAAGTTCTTTAACCTAATAGTATCGAGTGTCGACCATTCTATTTTTAAATGACACAATTTAATTGACGTATTTGAGAAACAATTTTAAAATATAAATTATTATTCTTATAATAAACCTAAACCACTCAAATTATTAAATTTTTAATATTAAATGTAGTCTCATAGTAAATTACATGTAGTTTGTTATTAAGTGCTAATAACCTAAAAAATTTAATTATCAAGTGAAAAATTTTAAATTAGAACATCGTTGAAAAAAAAGTGTTATCAACTACATGCAACGTAAATATATATGTATGAATGCATATATAAGTATATACACATACACATATTTTAACATAATTTAAACATTGCATTATGTCGTTGCAGCTTTTAATAGTATTGCTATAAGTACTTCGAAATATTACAAAAGCAAAAACATGAGAAAAAATGATAGAAAAAGGCACAATGTAAATTAAACAATAGGAATGAAAAATATGTGAATTTATTTAAAAATGCAAAATAATCATATACGTATGTATGTATGTGTGGATATATGCCCCATATATGAATGTACTTATAGCTTATCTAAGTTTAATTATATTTTAATTAAATGTTTCGGAAGTATTTTGCTGTAATGACTGTTAAAATTAAATTGAAAAAATTAATAAAAATTTTCAATTAATATTACATAACATGGTAATTTGTTGTGCTTTTGTAAAGTATGATGCATTTGCATACACATATACTTAGTCGCCAAATTAAAATATTTTATATAAAAATGGAATTCATGTTTTATCTAATGACAAAAATGAATAAAAGAAAATTACTTTCAATAAAAAGTATTAGTAATAAAAATTTTCAAATGATCATTCGAAAAATAATCGCCTAATAATTAGAAATTAAGTTATGAGTGAAATAAAGAAAATGCAGTTCGTGAAACCCAATATTTGTAATATGCAATATTTTCAATTATCAAATCTGAAAGTTATGGTTAAAATAGCTAATCTAAATATCTAATAATTAATCTAAATAGATCTAATAATTTTGCAATAATAATTAAGAGTGAAGAAAATTAAGTACCTAATAATCTTACATATGTGTAAGAGGAATCTCTTACATAGGTGTAAGAGGAAAAAATGAGAAGGTTACTATTTCAACTACTCGCCTCTATTAGAGTTTGATAAATCTTGAAAAAAATTGAGATTCTACAATATTTCAAGGGTACTAATTAGAGAGGAGAACAAAGTGGAGAGAAATTTTGTCACAAAATAAAGTGTAAAAATTTAAACCTCTTGTAGAGCCTCCGTGCAAGAATCCGAATATTAAAAAAACAACTGGTTTAAGATAACAATTAATCTGAAGAGCCGATTTAATGCTCTAGCATTTCCTTACTTTTACAATTATTAAGTATGAAATAATTACCTGATTTACTTATGGTTAAGTATACTAAATAAACTTAATAAATTTATGTTTATTTCGTTGAATATTAATTAAGGGCAGACATGCACTAACAATGTACAGATGAATATGTGCAAACAAATGTTTCGTTTAATTGCTAATTAAAATTCAAATCAATTATCATTAAAAGAAAAA